AACCTTCTGGCCCTTTAAATACAGTTCCTCATGTTGTGACCCAACCATAAAATTATTTTCGTTGCTACTTCATAACTGTAATGTTGCTACTGTTAAGAATCATAATGTAAATAGCTGATATGCAGGATGGTTTTAGGCGACCCCTATGAAAGGGTCATTTGGCCGCCAAAAGGGTTTGGACCCACAGGTTGAGAATCGCTGATCTAGCTGATCTACTCTGGGGTCAGGATAAATTGGAGACAGACTAGGACTCAGTAATGGCGAACCTATGATACGCGTGTCAGAGATGACACGCAAACTCATTTTTTTGGTTGATTTTTCTTTGTTAAATGGCATTTAAATATATAAAATAAATATCAAAAATATAAATTTTTGTTTTACTATGGTTGCAAATATCAAAAAATTTCTATATGTGACATGGCACCAGAGTAAAGTTAGGGTTTTTCAAAATGCTGACACGCCGAGCTCAAATGGTTCGCCATCACTGGACTTGGTTGAACACAAGCCCAAGATGGCAGTGTTCATTTTTACAGAAGTGCCTTTCTTCTCGCTTCATTTTCTGCCTTCCCTGCCTGGGCTCCATTATTTCTTGTCTCCACTTTTCCACTCCCATTCAGCACTACCCAGGGCATCTGGCAGACATGAGTAGCAGGTATCCCCGATGATCTCTTTTACCTACCTGGGAAAAACTCTCCCACATTTTCACCAAGCACCCTGTGGTGACTTTGTTGCACTCTTTGGGAGCCACTGATCTAAACTTAATATATTTAGGAAGAAAACGCCCGCCTATTCTTCCCAGGAAAGCTAAGTGCAGTGCAGAGGAGCTGCCTTCAGCATCTCCTCAGGGAAGGCACACGGGAGTGAGGGAGGCAAGAGCATCCTGGGTGTTGGGACTACTTCCTCTTTGCTCTGATGAGAAGCCAGCTGGTTCTCCTTTGATGGTACGACCCAGCCCTGGCTAAATGAACATGCCTTCCTGATCCCTCCTCTGTCTCACTGTTCCTCTTTCTGGCAGGTACTGCACCCTGGCTTGCTCTCTCAGGTGAGAATGGACCTGCTCCTGATGAAGATGGGCAGCCAAGTCCTTGCACTTTTGCCAGGAATCAAGTGGCTTAGCTTGCCTGAGATAGTGGAGGAATTTGAGAAGCTGATGGTCCAACAGGTGAATTTCCCTTCCCTTGGTTATAAATAGCATCTAAGAGAGTTCTTACCATTAGCAGCTGTTTAGTAAATGCTGGATAAATGAGTAATTTCCCAGTAGGTCACATCTAGTATGGTATGTTAGGGTAGGTAACACTAGTTGATATAACAAAGAACACCCAAGTCTCAGTAGCTTAATGCAACAAGGTTATTGCTTATATCAAAGTTCCATGCAGGTGAACTGAAGGAGAGAGGGAGGAAGCTCTACACCACAGTTATTCAGGGACCCAGTTTCCTCCCAAGTTTGGCACTGCTATCTACAACA